TGGGCAAATTGCGTATAGATCATTTTCGACTGCTCAGAGAAGAGGACTTTGGTTTAACGGATTTATGAAACAAGCATGAAGCAAAATATAACTCCAGGTATATTCAGTATAACATGATTACAGCTCAAAAAAGTGCATATTGCATAATTCTGGCCGAATTTGTGGGTGTTTTTTTTTTTTTTCTTTCAGTCCTGCAGAGATAAAATCGTGCAGATTCACTTTCTTTCTTGTGTAGTTTGGTCTTTGACTTGAAGAGAGAATACATATTTCAGAAGCCCACACTATCACTTTCAGAATGTGTCTTTCGTTCTCCCAGGACAGCATCTCTCTCCTTTACCTTGAAACACTCCCAGAGGACGTCCAAAGAGGATAAGAGGGCAACTTGTTATTGATTTACCTGCTAAGAACTGACAGAGCTCCAACATAAAAGCATTCATATATAAGCAATGAGGGCCCTTCCAAACTACAAATCATGTCAGGCTATTGATACAGTATGACAAAGAAACATTGATCTAAAATTCAAGCACATTTCTGAAGTCGCAATGACAAGCTGAGACAAGCACAGAAAATGCAGAATACGCAATATAATATATATATATATATATATATATATATATATATATATATATATATATATATAGCTGACACACCTTTGTAGTTATCACCGTTGACCTCCCAAAGGCTCCCAATCACCCCTCCTTCCCTGCCCATTACATGACCTTTAAACTATAGCTCACTTAGTCACATTATCTTGATTCCTGTGAGTGCGTGTGTCTGCACGGCTGTGTGCTGGACATACACAATATCCTACGGCAAACACACACTGGAGCAAATGGTGGACACCTTATTGCCACCAATAAGAGACAGCTCCCAGGCAAACTGACAAGGAAAAGGTCAATGACTGATGACTGTAGGTTTTACTCACATGTGATTTTGGCTGTAAAAAAGGACTTCATTGCCTCCACATGACACCACAACGACCCATAGTAAAACACAGGGGCAACAAAATGTAACTACAGTAAGTCAATAGAAATTTGCATAAAAGCTACAATTTATAATCTTAAAGGTGCTCTGTGTAACTTTAATGGGGAGAGTCCATCACCTGCTTGTCTATGTGATGACATTATTGCTTTGTTTGGAATATTCCACAGTGTGCATTAAACATATCCATCTTGCATTCATTCAATTAAAAATAGTTTTTATAGCTCAAAAATACCAAAACATGCATTCTTGCTTTGAGTGTCATCACCTCTCCGTAGATCTGGCCTGTAACTTAGCTTGATGGTGTTGCAAGCTTGTTTTTATGGAAATAGCTTGAAATGCACCGTATTGTGGCAATGAGCTGACCCTCCACCAGAAAAGTGCAACTTTGAGCTACTTCTGTATAGTCTAACAACAAGTGCATAAAAAGTCTTTCTCGATGTATCCAAGATGTTTATGAGGTAAATGGGGTTTGTCAGTGTCTTTCCCCGCACTGTCAGTGAAGCTAAGCAGATGCTACGAATGAAGGACAACACCACTAGCAATAACAGCATAGGGGGAGACAATGACAGGCAGCCAAGGCACTCACCTCATAAGACTTTACTGTAATCGCACCTCAGGCAGTGGGCTTAAATCAAATTCAGCCTGAAATTGGTGCGGTGGTGAGCTAACTCGCCTGACACTAATTGACATGGTTCTATCTGATGTAGGCATTACCGGCACACACCGCTCTGCATGGGAAGAGAGTTTAACATGAGACAGTTCAAGGCCAACAACAGGGAAAAGGTGTTGTTGTTTTAATCATTGAACCTGAATGGAAAAGTTCTAGCCCACATGGTTGGCTAAAGATAGATGGGGGCTGCTTTCTTCTCATGTGGTCTGCATGGCTGTGAAAGTGGATTAAACTAGCTTTAAACATCAAGACGATCTTTAATGAAACCCAATGGAGGAGTTAGCCCGTCTGTTTGGCCAGCTGACTCCCGTAAAATACCTATCCATGTCTCCTATTGCCGGCACTAAAAGTAGCCTGGTAGAGCCTGCCTGAGCGCGCGGCCGGCCTAAGGGCTCAGGTCGTCAAACAACTCTCGTTCAATTACTGTAGGCTCCATGTTTTCTTTTAGCAGCTGTTTGTTTGTTAAGAAATGATTTATGGATTTGGGTACATTTGGAGGTGCAACATGCATTTGTAGCAAAATACAAACATCAAATTTTACCACCAAGTGTTACATCATTTTCTGTGTATCTTCCTTTTAGATATTTCAACATGCAGAGTGACAGAAAGTTGACTACAAATTTGCCATGTTACAAATATGATAAATGATTTGTGTCTGTTTTTTCTCTAGCGATTAATAATTATGTAACCGTCCCATCTTAAAGGATATTGTTAACAATTGAATCACAGAATTGTATTTTTCTTATAAAATACAGCTGTCACACCACAAGACATTAAAAAGCTGCATTTGTTCAAAGTTTGATTTCACAAAAATAAGAATATAATAATTATTTATTTTGGCTTCTTTTTTCTTTTATTTTAAACCCTTAACCCCAGAGATTTTAATGTTGCATAAATAACATATGAGCTACTTTTAGGTCTTGTGTATCTTTTTAAATGTGATTTTTCATGTCACACTACAAGAAAACTGAATTCCTCATATCGTTTATTGTAGATTTAAAGAGATAAACCTGTTGTTCTTGTAAAGATTATCATTATGCCAACACCTGCCCTACCCATTTCTGACAAAAATGATACACCGGACATTTAAGTGTGTATTTGCTAAATATACAAAAAAGTCAAATACAACTGCTAAAACTGTTGATTAGAATTTTATAATCTAAACCTAACAAATGGACATGATGTTAAGTACCCATTTATCTTCAAACTCTGCAAGATTGGTGGCCAAGAAGTGAGATAAACAAGATGTGGTTAAAATGTGCAACAAAGTCAAATTAAGCTAATGTGGAAGAATAATTGTTAACTGAAGTAAAATGATGCTTTAAATGCATAAACTTGAGACACAGTGAGTAAAAGTGCAGTAATCTACGTTATTGTTTTGCTTCTTGTAATCCCAAAACATCTGTCGCTTATAAACAAAACCAAAAGAGACCATTTGATAAAAAGTGAAAATTGCCTTGAGCAGTTTTGATTTCAGCCATCTGGATAATTTTGCAACATACCAGTAGTAGTGAGAAACTGAATTGTGTAATAACAAGTGCGAGAACCAATACAGCGTGTTGACAGAGAACAGTATATTTACATTGAACTTTTTGTATCTGACATCTGCAGTGGTCAAACAGCCCAATGCCCTCCACCCGCGGCCCATTTGGAAAATTCATAACAATGATCAATAAGGGGACAGCATCACGCACAACACGGCCATCTATCACGCGAGGAAAAACATGAAGAAAAACATTACTCAAGTGATATTGACTGGGGCTAAAACGATACATCACACTCAAGGGTAGGCTGTGGTTCACCTTTCTCCTTGTGTCTCTGCTTCTGCCTGGATGTCCACCCCACTGACAAAACCAGAAAAAGAACTTCATAATCATCTTAACACACTCCCGCTTCCCAGAGAACAGAGATTTAGTTTAGCACATACCAATGGTGAATGTGAGTGGTAGTGGAGCTGAAAAAAGTCCAAGGCATGCTGCTGTACAATTTATTCACTTTTTTATCCTTTAACAACCCTCGTGCTCATCTTTTAGACTGTGCATTCACCATGACAGTGCTCCCTTTGCCTCAGCACTACAATAGCTTTGTTGATAGGTCTGTCACAATATCACATTTTCAAGCAAGATATATTGCTACAGAGAAATACTGCTATAAATGATTACATCAAAAGTACTTTATGCCATTAACACAAAGCAAGATAATCCCAGTGAACCATATTTTAAATAGGCAGTATCATTATAAAACCTGAGCTTTAACAAATAAATGTCAGAATGAACCATTAATTAGCCACAGAAGTTATTTATTCTACCCTTTACAGCTCAAATCTTGTGTTATTACATTAAAATGGCAAAAATCTCCCTGCTATTGCAAAGAAAAAGTACCCATACATACTGAGTCCCAAAATATTTAGTACCAGTTTTCATCTTATATTGAATGATAAGATAATATACGGCAGTAATAATTGTGCCAAGGCTATTTGTGTATATACTGATATTAAAACACCATTGTTGAAATATGCAACAAACCCAGATGTTAAACTTGAGTGCTTGTTTCTATAAAAGAGGAACTATATCACACTGTGTATTTGCAAAACTTGTTGTCTGATGAATAACTGCTCACTAAACAACGAAAACAAGATATTTGCACCATAGCAAAACTGGCATTTACTCTGCTTTAACTCATTATCCAGCACAATGTCAAAGTACCCTCAGGTCACAGAAAGGGAGCATTCCTTCACATAGCCTTCTAAGGACTTCATAAATAATCACTATTCCCCATTCATGACCGCACGACACTGCCATGTATGGACACTCTTAATTTCCTCTCGTCTGCCTGCAACAGTGACAAACAAACACTTAATATCTGATCATCCAAATAATCACAAAGAGACGGAGAAGCGCGCTGCCGGTTTGACAAATGCGTTTGTTTTTTTCCTTTTCGCTAAATTAACTTTCTGATATGGTTATTCATGAGAGAGACATTTTCGATTTTAATTAACTATAAGATACAATCCGGATTTGACAGAGCTGCACGCAGCGCTGTGGAGCAGTCAGGGAGAGCGGTGCAGGCAGAAGCCGGCTGTGAAAGGTGATGCTGAGGGAAACCCCAGCACCACTCCAGCCCCGAAAGCTGTCGCTAAATTCCGTGTCGAGATGAAAGCAGCAGATTTTTCAAACCGAAGATAACGCAACTTCCTACTTATCTACTTATAGTCTAATTTCAAATAACAGGAGGGAGTTATTATTCCAGTGCGTAAATGAAGTGCGTAAAGTAAAAGCGGTGGATATGTGCAAAGTGGAAAGAGTTGATTCAACAGACGAATAAAAACTTTATATAATTTTCTTACCTTGACATCTGGAGATACGTAGGTCAGGAGCAGTCTCAAAGTAGAATGATACAACGGAGCAATCCACTCCCAACTTGTCACGGGTCCGTGTTTGGCACAGCAGCGAGGAAGTCCATTCTGTCAAAGGTAAAACGCTTTAGTGGTGTGTAGCTAACGAGGTCCACTACCTTCTACCGCCAGCTAGCTGCAGATTGAACAGCGTTGGGTACGAGGCACAGCGGGATCTCCAAGGGCGCATCCGAGTCCGTGCGTCACCATTGGCCAGAGCACGGTGACGCACCGGCAGGTGGCACACCCGCTGTATTAAAGACGCGATTCATTCAATGTAACTGCCAGAGGGGGCGAAGGGACTTACAGAAAAGTCATACAAGACCAAAAACTGTCGTAATGATAGCAGGTTTTCTGCCTGACGACATCCTGTTGTCCCACTTTGCGCCTCTTTCCCTGCAGACTTAACACATGCGGCTTTTCCGTTTTAACAATGAGTTGCACTAACTAACTATAAGACATCAAGCTGTTTAGTCTGGATTGAGACGTTCATTTGGCAAGAGGGATGTCTTAATTATCTATCGACAGCTGCGGTCCTTAAGATAAGATTTTTGGACCTAAAGCTTCCTCTAAAAATAATTAGTGGGACTTACCTTACGCTTTAATAGCTTGAGGCTACACTGTCTGGAGTCTCATCTTATTTCAGAAAAGTAAGCAGGTGAAAATGATCGGTTATATTTACTATAGACAAATTACACGAGTAAAAATAATTAGGTTTTGGCATAAAAAAGTTACATGGCAAGTTGGCGAGTAATATAAATACCACGCCCACCACTGCGTCTAGAGACTGCAAGAGGCCACAAACTAAACCACGTGTTTTGTTGCCATTTTTTGTTGCCATTTGCCTACAGTAAAGCGGTAATCAAAAGGGAGAAGAACTATTTTCACATCGTGGTGAGTAAATTATGTTTCAACATGTTTTGTGATAATAATTATATTAGGCTATATAAAAAGGAGGCAATATTGACAAAAATAATATCTTTATGTATTTTTGCATCATATCAATCACTATATTCAGAAAGACATTTTAATAGTGCATCAGGAATGTACTAAAATGTACTTGTAAAAGTCTTGCACAAAACATGAAAGGACCATAAACATAAAATGAACCACAAAAGAGCAAATGGCACTTTATGCTTGTTTGGGAGATTACATTATGTTTGTCGCCAATTGTATCGGACTGTTGTTGTGAAGAGGGAGCTGAATCGAAAGGCAAAGCTCAAAAGAGCCTCTAGAGATAGGTTCAATCAAATGAGAGGAGCTTGGAGTAGAGCTACTGCTCTTCCATGTCGAGAAGAGCCCACTGAGGCTGTTCCAGATGTTCACGTCTCAATTGGAGGAGGCCCAGGAGAAGACAAAGGACACGCTGGAGGAACTAGGTCTCTTCGCTGGCCTCAGAATTCCTCGGGGTTCCACTGGAGGAGCTGGAGGAAGAGTCTGGGGTGAGGGAAGTCTGGTAGACTGCTAACCCCCAACCCAGCCGTGGGTAAGCAGAAGACAATGGCTGGATGGAACAATTGGGATATTATCAATTTTCCAATATGTTGTCCGCCCTTACAATAAAATTTAATAATTGTTGATGTAGGTGTAGGCCATAAGATTAATTAATTAATGGTATAATATGCTCTTTTTATACTTTTAAAAACAATACCCAACCTTAATACCCCATTAAAAATAGACCATGAGAATCTGGGCCAAATTGACTCAACATTTGAGAAAACTATTTTGCAGATCAAACATGCAAGCTGATACAAGCTGTTTTGACACTTGCATGAATGTGATTTGGTGAGCCAAAGCAAATCTTTTAATATATTTTTATCAACACAAATAAGGAGTGAGTTGTAATCCTTGGTGGAATGTCTAAGCCAATTACAGTTAGCTGGGGGGACTTGTGGAGTGCAATAGCTTCCTGTGCAGACTCAGTGCAGGCCATCCACCAGCCACATTTCCTCTACACCTTTATACAGCATTTATATGAAAATATGGAGCACTCATCGACAGAAATAGGATGTTGCCTGTCTTCCTCTGACATTTATAGCACTCTCATCAGCTTAATGCCTACCAGCCTGTTTGACAATGCATCTGCATGTGTTGCCCAATTAGAAGCTGGCTGATATCCTGTGATTAAGGGGTAAATGCTTTATCTTTCTGCAGGTGTTATCGAGATCTGTATATAGTTTACATAATGATGCTAGCGCAATTAGGTTTTGTTGTATGCTGAGAAAACGTAGGCAATTGCTGATTTATATCCTAGGTCACAGAGATTTTACTGGTGGTGCGATATCAGCTAATCTAGGCTATAATAACAATGTGCAAAGGTAGCATTGATATAAAGGTGACGCAGATAAATCAAGGTAGAAAACGGCAAATATTGACATGAAATCCAATTTATTTTTAATGGGGATATGCTGATTGAGCAAACAGTGTAAATTAAGCTTGGAAATGATGTTTGGGACTCTGGAGAAAACCACATGTACTGTGCGTTTTGTACAGTAAACAGCATGGTCAGGGGTGAATAACATAGAAACCTTTTAAAATGACAGCCATCTACGCTAGCATTGTCATTAGCTAGCATGGTGTAGGATTTTATATTTCAGATTATAAATAATTAGTATTGGTATTAACAAATGTTAATGCATTGTGCAATTTTGCTGGTGGAGGGTGTGCCGTCTAAATGGAGTATTATTATTTGCCTGGAATGTTCCACAGTATGGCATTAAGCTCATCTATCTGCATGGAGACAGACATGTGCAAGACAAGTTATAAGTAAATCTGAGATCTGACAAGGTTTTTTGTTTTTTTTTGAGAAATAAAATCACCTGAGTAAATGCAAGATATAACTTGGTTTGTGGGCATCACAGGTCTGTCTCCATGGACATAGATAAGATTAATGCTATACTGTGGAACATTCCAAAGCAAAACTATGCAATTTCTATGAAGGGAAGCAGGTAGCGGACCCCTCACCTGAAAGTTACACAGTGCACCTTTAATGATCTGTTAAAGTACAAGGCATAGGCATATAATGGTTATGTTAATTGTCTGATTTTTTTGTTTTTCCATTTAAGCTGATACCAACAAAATGAAATGGCATGAGAAAAAAAGTATAAAAAATAGATAACGTAGTGTAGGATTTTATATTTTCGATTATAAATAATAAAAAGTTAAGGAGAAGTGGGTTTCCGGTTGAGCTGGGTTGCCCCTGATAAATACACACTCACTGTCAGGCTTTAGCATTCACCTTTCTGCAATTTCACAGTGTCTGACTCTTGGAGAAGTGCATGAACACACCGATAACTGAGCCACTATAGCCTACTGGCCCACACAGACACCTTTCACTTAATAACAACCTTCAAATCCTGTGTCCTCTCTGGAGTAACAGCAAAACAGCATGATTACAGAGCCAGTTAGAAATGAATTCTTCACCAGTCCTTTGCAATTTGCAGAACATGGCGTGGATATATAATGTATGAGAGCCAGGAGAGAGTCTTAAAAAAAACACAAGCAAAACTACAGTTCACTTATGAATTTTTAAAAGTACAATTTAAAATTAATTACAAAGCCTGGAGTAACACCATAAAAATAAAGAAAAGTATTGGGGGATTTGTGTCAACTGAAGGAAATTTGTTTAGCATGAAAGCACAATTTGTTTGATCAGTGGAATATGACAACAGAAGAACAAATTTGCAACTCTCCCTGAAATTTACTTTTGTGCATGCTTTGGGTGTAAAAGTTAGTTGTCGGATTTTTAAAGGTACATTGTGTAACGTTTCTGGTGGAGGGTCTGTCAAATGCTTTAATCCATGGAAATGTTATTCGTTTGTCTGGAATGTTTTACTGTATAGTATTAAACCTTTCTATCTTTATGAAGACCAAACCAAACCAAGTTACAGGTCAGATCTATGGGGAGGCAACCCTGCTCAGAGTCAGAAAGCCTGTTTTCTAGGTATTTTTGAGCTGCAAAATCATCTGTAATTGAATAAATGTAAGGTAGAGCTGTTTAATCTCATATTGTGGAACATTCCAGGAAGAGCAATGATATATCCTTAACAATTAAGCAATTAATGGACCCTCAACCTGGAAAATTACACAATGCACCTTTAGGAAGAATGTCTCTACTACCACCCAAAAGAGGGCTCAAGTGCTGTCTATATGCACAGTGCACGGGAGCAGCCAATGTGTCAGGCAAAGAAGCAGTTTTATTCTTTATCTGTCTGAGATTTGGACCCAAAGTTTCACTGAAAAAGCAATAGAAAAAATAGTCACGCACAAGTGTCAGGGCTCTATGTGAAGTCTCCCTGCACCGCTGCGCCAAATCATGGAATCGGAACTGTGGTGGAATCCAGAAGATATTCCCATCCTGATTTGAAGTCATTTTTAGCAATGATTACAGCTTTTGAAACCTGAGTTACGGAAATATTTTTGTTGAACAGACAAGATGAATACAAAAGACACATTTGGGCACGGTTGGCATGTGTAAAAATGGGCCTAATGCAAGCCAAAGCAGCCAGGCGATAATATGAAAAGGAATGAAGATTCAATAGCAGGGTCGCAGCGCAGTGACACGGTGCATAGACTTACTTGATTTTCTGAGGGGTTTTCAATTTTCAACGTTTTTCTTCTGAAAAATAATTAGAACTAATAACCCCAGGGTAATTGCTGCTTGTGTGTGACTCTTGAGCGTGTCCTTCCATTGACATGTGAGGACATTACTGGCTGAATTTCAATGATGTGGAATTAACCTTTATTATTGTTTTTGTGTTCAATTGTTCTCTTTCCTCCCAACTCAACTTCAAACTTCAAGCGCTGCTGTTTTCCCTTATATAGGCAGGCCCTCATCTCTTCTCTTCAGTCGAATAAATAGAGTAAATCCTCTCCCTGCGTCCGGTAAAATCCCACTTTTCATAGCCATTTTAGCGTTGACCTTGATCACAGCGCGACCTGTCATACCTGCTGTCGCTTCTCAGACTTTTGCAAGCTGTTTGTAGAATATATAAAGAGGACTTGCACTGTGGTATCTCCAACATGTGGCATA